TGTATATATATATGGGGAAATAACCAACAGTGATTATCTCTGAATGTTTGAACTCCAACTACTGACAGTGCTCTTTGGGAGGTCCCTTTGATGAGAAGGGACTCTAATGTCTGAATGTCTGTTGAGGAATGGCTGAATTATACCACATCAGTGTGTGTTTCTCTCATTCACAAACACACATGCACATATGGATTCCTGATGGCTGATTTTTTTTTCTTTAAGCTGCCATTATGTTGTGCCGATTTTCAGTATTTGTCAATTTTGACTCAAGACATTGAAAGTATTTAGGCCCCAGCATATTATTATTCAAAAGGTGGAAAGAAAAACCAAACCAACTCTTTTTCAAAGTGCCCATATTTTGTCCCTTTTCCCATTTCCTGTGTCATAGTTATTGTGCATATAAAAGTTCTGCTATGTTGAATAAATGTGGCAAAAGGAATCCCACAGAAAACCCTTAAAAAAGGCTTTGCCTTTTTTATGAAGCATCTACATCACCAGGTGACATGTAACCTGAAACAGGGCTAAAAAGTAGAAGTAGAAGCTGGCTACAACATTGCTGATCAAGAAACCTCTGGGCAAGTGACATTTCCAAAACACGCTTGTGGTTGATCTTCTTAAAAGAGTTAGGTGGCTGATTAATCACAGAAAACTGGACCAAGAACTAAAACAGAAGAAGAAAAGAGGTGCCGCAGCATTGAACATTATGAAGCAAATAATTATAAATTATAATTGTATTTTAACATTAAGGCATGTAAACCTTTTCAGTAGAACCTCGGATGAAATTTATAAATCTAAATGTAAACTTTAAATGGCCAAAATATGGGCATCTTAAATCTCAGCCAGGACCAATCTAACTATTTGGGCTGAAAATCTCACCTCCACTGTTAGCCACAAAAAGTCTGTGAAAGTGTGCTATCAGAAGATGAACACTCGAGTTTCAGGCAGCAGTCAAGAGTAACTGGGCTGTGCTTTCTTAAAGGGATAGTTCACTGAAAATATATGCTGATGGAGGGTTGGGTGAAGTGTTTGAGTCCACAAAACACTTTTGGAGTTTCAGGGGTAAACAGCGTTTCAGCCAAATCCAATACAATTGAAGTAACTGGTGACCACTTCTTTAAAAACACAAAACCCCCCAGAAAAAAATAATAAATTGCCTCCAATCTGCTCCTGTGGTGTCATCCAAGTGTCTATAAGCTGGATATTCGACTCTGCGTCATTTACACAATGTTTTTAGCCTAAATGTTCTCTGAAATTCTCCTGCCTGGAGCTGCATTCACGTTCATGCGCACGCACACTGCACACGCTCGCACCTCTATGCTCTTGCCCAAGGGGCATGTGACAACATCATCAATACTCAGCATTAACTGCAGGGATGCTACCGGAACTAGCGATGCTACACTTGAAGACATGGTAGCCACTTCAATTTTATTGCATTTGGCTGCATTGCTGTTTACCCCTGAAACTCCAAAAGTGTTTTGTGGACTCAAACACTTCATTCACCCCTCTATTGGCATCATGGTGAGTGAATTTTCATTTTTCAGTCAACTATCACTTCATGGTTTTTCAGGCTGAATGCAAACATCAATTTAACAGAACAATGAAAACAAACAGATGTGAATTCAGTCTGTGCAAAAATGCATCAATGTGAGTTTAGAAAAGTCACAAACATTTTACTAAATTGTGCTTGTCCTTCAGTCTGAATGCACTATTACAGGATGACTTTAATGCATCGTTTTCTCGAGAGGGAGGGGAGATTGAGCTGATTCATTGTTGGCAGTGACAACCTAAAAACATTCATCTGTCATCATCGCACTGAAAAAGCTTAGATCTCTGATATAGTGAGGCTGGTGTGTCCGCTTCATAATAAACATCTGTCCCAGGTTTTGTGAGTTATATTTTAGATGACACCCTTAACTGGTTGGCTCAGGGATCACATAGTATTGGTTTGTATCACTTGGCTATACAGTAACTTGTGTAAAAAATTCGATGCAATGTGAGGAACAAATGAAAACTATATTACTAACAATGGAAATCCTTGTTGTGGATTTGATTTGTCCCATGGGGAATGTTTAAAGCTTGGACAGCTGCATAATTCAATCCTTAAACAATGCTGGAGAAGCACTTAAATAAAGTATAAAACATCTAAATATCAGCCCGATGTAGTCAGTCTATGACACAAGCACACACACGTACACTCACACACACAAATTTGTATGGATGGCAGCAGGAGGTGCAGGTTGTGCTGGTGACCAGATGTCATGTTGTTTAAACATGTCAGGCGAGCACTAGTAGGCCTGGCCAGTCTCGACCTGCAGCAGTCCCAGTACAGCTGTGTGGTCGGCCAGCTTCATCCTGCGCTGACTGGACAGGCTGACGTTCTTTGCCAGGTAATCCACAGCAGCTGGAGAGGATGAGAGACAGGAGCCAGAGTTAATATCCTCTTCAGCTGCTACTCAGACACTCAACATTGTGACATCTTCAAGTGGAATCCCTAGTGACTCTGGTCAAAGAGAAACAACTCTGTTGTTGTTCTAATGGAATTGGTCCAGTGTTTATATAGTACAACATACACAGCTGACCTTGTCAGGTATTATCTTATGCAATTCCACCCTACATAATATATAGTTTACCCAACCTTTATTTGTGTGTGGTGAACATGTCCCTGGCAATCATTTGAAAATATTGACTATTCATATATTACAGAATAATATACAGTTTTACAATGTCTATAAATGTTGTTTTCCTTTGAAATCTGCTGGTTATGTTTCTTTAGGGTCTGTCTAAGCAATCCAAGAATTGTTTATTGTTCAGGACAGTCTTGTTGAAATATTGAAACTCTGTCAGTGGCTAGAAGAACAAGAAATTACAAGTTTGCTCTATCTATAATCACATATGCCATATCATTTTATGGGAAAAATAAAATATAGACTTTTGCCATGTCCCAATTCACCCCTTAGCCCTACCACTTGGCCATTTCCCTTTGTTTTTCACGTGGCTGTAAAGGGGTAGTGTGGTCTCATTACTCCCATGTCTATATCTGAAGTTTAAAAAAAACCCTCCCTGCTCATGTGATAAAGTTTTCAGTGCAGTTTCTATGGACAGGACTAACGTGACATTGAAATAACCAATGTAAACTGACTGACTGTATTGATCAATAGATCAAGCTGTCTCGTCTGTCCTGCAGTTGTCAGATGTGTCACGATTATAATGTTGGTTGATACTATTTGTCACTGTAATTATGTTAATTGGCTTCTGATGAAGTAGAGAGTGGTGTCCCACTTCATAGGGGAAGATTTTCTAACCCTACCCTTTGTGGCTCCAAGCGAAGGGAACTTCATAACTAGAGGTAGGGCCAAGGGAGAGGAATTGGGACAGGGCATTAAATGTTGATGAAAATAAAGGAGCCCAGTGTGTCTCATTGATGTGATGACTTTTTTTTAGAAACAATGGATTTCTATGGCACAGAGAAATAAGAGATAAAGGGTGTCGATGCACACACCCAAACACAAAAATAGTTCCTTATCCACAATACAAAACATATATTGCATAGTTGCAGAATTTTTTGTTCATTCACACTGATGGACAAGATGACACTGACAGAAAGACAAAAGCAGCCAACAGTTCTGCTTCCACAAACAAAGAGAGAGACAGGGAGTCACTTTCCTTGAAAAATCTGGCATTAATGCTCAGTATATTTTTCTCTTGGAGTGGTGGATGTTGCCCCTCCCTGGTTTAGCTGGTGATAACTTCTCTTTAATAGGGCTGAAGAGAGGGGGGCTGACAGCAGATGGGATGTGAAATGGTGTGCATGTGTGTGTTTAGGCTATTGGGGGCAATAAGTAAGACATGTCAGTTAGGATGTTAGTGTGAACAAAAAGGAAGCTGTCACTCGTTGCTGAGGAATGAGAGAAAGAAGAGCACCTATGGGTGGGCAGGTCTGTCTGCCAAGATGCCAGTCAGCCAGACAGCTAGTGGGGGTGCAGTGTGTGTGTGCATGTGTGTGTATGTTTCACAAGGGTTTAGCAGGCCCTGTAAAGGAAGCTGTTTTTCCTGTCAGCCAGGTTTATAGCTTAAATCCCTGTTGAGCAGTCACACCAAGAGTCCTCTGCCTCCAAGATACAGCTCATCTGATAATACACACTAAAACGCATGCACACATGTACAAATACAGGTGCACGCACACACTCGAGCCTCAGCTATTTTGACAGTATGTACTTTAATCTGTCAGGAGCTTTCTGAATTAGAACAAGAGAGGAGTCAAATGTCTCAAGTAAACTGTTAAACCTGTCTGCAGGAAGGGGGTGGGGTGGGGGTACAGTCAAACCACTAACTTTGCATTACAGAGGATCAATCATAGCATCAGAGATTTTGTAATAGAAATGTTTTTAGTATATGACCTGTGTCCTATAATGTTGGTAATCTCACTTGTTATCAGACAATGATCAGATATGTTTTTATTCTGATGCAGTGTTTCTCTAATAATCTGGAATCATGCTTTTTATCATATTACAGTGGTGTCACTAAAAGGGGTCCCACATTTCCTTTAATGCTGGCACATGTTACAATCTCATCTGCTGTGGAGTGACTGTGAGCAAATCCATAGGTTTACTAATGTATTAAAGTTTGTGTGATGTGTCTTGATTGTTTAAAGAAAAAGTCAGAGAGAGATGAAAAATTCCCCAATCAAAGTGACCATGACTCATGCAGCAAATAGCACCAGCAGAGGCATTGTGCCCTGCCTTTACTATCAATGACCGTTTTAAGACATGGCCTCCAGATGTTCTCTGGGGAGCTTCTGCAGAATTGACTCCAGACACATTACTGAGTTTTCCTTTCACATATGCACAACACAGCAGGAGATTCTCCACTAAGATGTGTTCAACACAGCAACAGGTGAGTGATGAATCCTGCAAAGAATCTCCTGCTGTGATCTCACATTGGCTCATCCTGAGTTTCTGTGGACTTTATACTAGGGGGCCAATGGGGAAAGTCCACTCACACATACTTCTCCTACTACAGAGCATCTTTGGGGTTCAGTGCATGTATGAAAGCAGCGATGCCACCCTTAGTATAAATGATCCCCTGCTGCTCTGATTCCTTTTGGCTCCTGTCCAATGTAGTTCTGTCTCTCTCGTTGTTTGACTTTGACGACATATGAACTGCAGCACTGAGTCACAGCCACTGCATTCTTCTTCATCTAAATACAATATAATTTCATAAATGAAAACAGCGCCTGAGTCAAGCACCCAGTTTTGAAGAGCCAACACCATTTGTTCTCCAAGCTCGAAAACAATGGATATGCCAAATTGCCCTCAAACATGTGTAAGGAGATGCTACCACCCAACCTCTGTCTGGGATTGGTTAAATTGTCTTGATACTAGTATTGGCTTGTGAAATAGAATTGTATCCTTGCCCACAATTAATGGCTGACATTAGCCAAATTACACAACCACCAGTGTGGCTACCAGTCATTGTTGCTCAACGTGGTGCGCTTGAGCGCACCAGCCTTCCATGACACATCTGAAACACTGTGTAAGTGATATTTAAATACATGTGATAGCTATTGTATCTTTGTTGGCTAAAATAGGTGAAAAAAAGAGCAGCAGTAGAATCTTCTGGTCTCATGTGAACATTGAACTCTTCATTAAGGCTAAGGCTTATTTTTTTGCTGGGTTGGATTCAGTTACAGCATGACCTGAAAAAGAACCATGAAGAGCACCAACAATGTGAACCACAGCAACACAGTAAGATAACAAATTAGTACATGTGGGGGCGGCTATGGCTGAGAGGTAGATCGGTCATTCCCAAGTAGAGGATGAGGTCTAAAACATCACTTGTTGCTCACCCACCAGACTTCATCCCTTCCAAGGAGATTTAACCAGCATTCAAACTTGGCCTAAAGTGACTCCAACAAGACTGTAAGGAGAACTAATGAACCATGTGACATTGATGGCTTTGATGACGACCCCCACAGAGATTAAATGCAAGGGTCTTCCCACCGACAGTCAGAACTGAGGAGGCCTCTTGGATGAGAGTATTTATAGTATTCAACAAGGTCCAGTTGACCTCGACTCAACTTTTCTTGGATAGTTTATTTGGAGCTTTGCTACTTAAATTTAAATAGGTCACTGTGTTTTAGTCAGTGACACTGTCCATGGTGCTGAAATACCAAACTTTATCTTCATCCACATCTCCATAAGTTTCCCACTGACCAGTCTCATCTTCATACAACCTATAATAGCCTATATGAAGGCCCTCAGAAGTTCCTCATCTTCTTCGTAAGTGTTGTTTAGCTTACTCACTGTTTTTCACAGGTGACCCCACTGCAGCACTGTGGCTCGGGATGTGGTGTCCCATCATGCTAAAGAGATATTTTCAGTGCTCTTGGCCCAGTATGATAGTCAGTCATCTTTACAACCCTCATTCCCCTGATTACGACCCTGTTTTGGATATTGGATTCCTTTTTTGCCTGCCGCTTCGGATTTGTTTGCTGTTCGGACTGATATCCTGGTTTTGACCCTCCTGCCTGTCTTTTGATCTCCAGTTAATAAACAACCTTTTTCTTTGCACTTGAGTTTTTGCTGCTGTCATGCTTTTGGGTTCAGTTCTGTCTCAGGTCATCACACTATAAGTTGTTTATGCATTACCAAACTATGAGGAGGATAGGGAGTAATGGTCATCCCTCCTTCCCTCTATGTTTGATTGGTCCAGTGAAACATACACCAGGAAGCATCCACAAAGTAAACCTTTTTTTATTTTCATTAACAGCACAGTTTATGTGTGTGTGATTGTGTATTTGACCGTGCTGTCTTTTCTCTGACAGTAACTGTGCTGTTGCTTTTGTCTCAGTGGTGTGTGGCATTCTTGTACTGTGGACTATGCTTGACTACTAGCAGCAATACTTTGTCTAACTCTGAATAAATGTGGAAATATTGTTTAGTGGAATAACGTACTGAGTGGAATACTCTGCTGTATCAATTGATGACAGAGAGCAGTAAAAAAGGCATGTTCATATCATAATGTTGCTTAGCCTGGAGTAGCAGCACTCACTTTGGCCATACTGACTGTACTGGTAGCCGGCAGCTGCCACAGCTGAGTCCATGCTGTAGCTGGTGGTGCTGTATGTGGGAGGGCAGTAGGACTGGGATGAGGGAAGGCTGTCCACCGTCTTAATTGAGGACTCGGCTGAACGCTGGCTGCAGCTGCCTGAGATGACATTGGATGGAGAGGAGTCCAAGGCGCTATGGAGTGGTGAAATGGAGAAGTCGTGTTGTGGCTGTGAGGAGACTCCACTTGGGTTACTCAGGATACTCATCACCTGCAAAGACAGAGAATATGCTTTCAGCAAGATTTTTACAGGGCTTCTTCTGTTGATCACTTTTCACACAGCAACAACCACATCCACAACCAACATGTTAACAATGGTCACAAGATATTTCGTGGACGAACTTATTTGGAAGAAAAATTGACAAATATATTAATACCTCTCAAATAAAACTGTCCATTATAAAAACCTGGTGTTAACATAACAATGAAAATTGGAAACATCCTGTCTCAGAAGGATGCTGAGAAACTCCTCCACGCATTTGTTACCTCTAGACTGAATTACTATAATTCTTTATTATCAGGATGTCCCAGGAAGACTGTGAAAAACCTACAGTTGGTACAAAATGCGTCCTGTCTTAGCTTCTCTACATTGGCTCCCTGTAAAATTCAGAATAGAAATCAAGATCCTGCTCCTCACACAAGCCATTAACAATCAAGCCCCTTCATATATCAAAGAGTTCATAACACCATATTGTCCCAACAGATCACTTTGTTCCCAAAACACAGGCTCTCTTGTGGTTCCTAGAGTCTGTAAGAGTAGGAGGTAGAGCCTTCAGCTACCAGGCTCCTCTCCTATAGAACCAGCTCCCACTCTGGGTTCAGGAGTCAGACACCATCTCTGTATTTAGAGATGGACTTAAAACGTTATTTTTTGATAAAGTCTATAGTTAGGATTTCAGGAGTGGATCAGGTTCCTTAGTTATAGTGCTATAGGTCTACACTGCTGGGAGAATGGTTAATTGTCTGTATTTATATAGCACTTTTGTAGTCTTGCGGACCACTCAAAGCATTTTACAGTACAGTTTTCAAGTTCAGTGTCTTACTCAAGCACACTTTGGCATTCGGAAGACTGGGATTGAACCGCTGACCTTCTGTTTAGAGAACGACAGCTTTCTATAGCTTCCCTGCAGTTCAGCCTCAACCAAGATCATCGTCAAGGAAGAGGTTTTGATGGCAAACATTGAATACCTGCCAAAAGCTATGTGTATTCTGTTTGTACTAGCATACACACTTTATATCAACTTCCCTAAGTCCGCCCCTGACGTGACCTTGATTGATCACCCAAATCTAATGAGCGAGTTGTGCCATATCTAAAAGGATTCTCTCAAGGCGTTCTGAAGATGATGCATTTCTGAGGCAAGAAACAGTTATGTGAGGTTTAAAGCATATGTTGCCATTGAGCTTATCTCCTCTGATTTACTTCCTTCTTTTTTAGGTGTTATACACAATGAGGCTGCTGTACTATTCAAAATGAGCAATACATGGCATGATATGATTAATCATTAGTGTGTTTACTGAAGAGTCTTACAGATTACAAGTTTTGGGTTTTTTCACTGTCAAGCTTCTTTTATGACACAATAACTAGATAGAGATAATTGTTAAACATTCATGGCCATCTGTTAAGTGTCTTCTGTTGAGTGAGTCAGCAGTACAAATGAGTTAATCAAGCAATTAGATTTTTTTCAATAAATAATTTATTCATAGAAATTCCGTATATAATAATAAAAACCTTAACAGCTTTTTTTCAACCTTGTTTTGTTTGTAATGGGACTGCTGGACAATGGTATGTTACATGAGTTACCTGGTTGATCTGGTAATGGTGGTTTTGCTTTAGAGTAAAAAGTATGGGTTGTTGGGGGAAGAGTGGCAGAAAGACACAGGTAGAGAAGTGAGGAGGGGGTAGATCCCCACAGGATCCCAGAGGACGTCAAAGCTTGACTTTGGGTGAGAAGGTGAGGGGTTTCCAGCAGCCTGACACTTCTATTGAGGGCAACATGGAGGTGGTCTGTCACTGCAGAGCAGCCCATTGTGGTGCTTATAAGTGGAAATTATTCAAATCTTCATATTTACCATAAGCTCACACACATCAATTAAAGGCACCCGGATTAGGTTGTGAAATATTTGGGCTACCATAATAAAGAAAGCACCAGGGTTCCTGCCACTGGTGAAGAATAGCTAAAATCTGCAGAACTGAGTTCTGTGCCCTAAAACTGTTTGCTTCTGTGCTTAGCTACTATAAACAATGGCCTTACTATGTATGTATGTTTGTATTGATAATATAGTTGATAATGTTTTCCCCTTCATTTAACAATAACATGATTCATTCATTTCAGTCATAATCTGTTGAAACTGTGAGTTGAGTGCTGGTCTAGTGAGCTAGTTTTTTGATTCTCTGTACAAGATGATTTTTCAGTCACTTGTTAAAGGATGAGTTAAGCAATATTATCCTTATTTACTCTCCTTCAGAAATGAGAAGACAGGCCCATTATTACATCAAAACTAGGCCTTTCCAATGAAAATGACAGGACATTTTACTGCAGACTATAAGCTTTTCAATACCAGGCATCTATGCTACAAGATACTTCTCGGTATAAGGCTGGCATCACAGCAATACACAATAATACACAACTCTGGAGGGTTTTTAGTACAGGTGGAAATATTGTCACCTGCCTGCACTCATCTCTGAAGCCAGACCATGTAGACGGACTGTTGTTCCAAAAACCTTTAAGAGGTTTCAGGAGGCAGATTACAACGAGTGAGCGAGTATCTGACTGGGTGGGCATGCACATGCTTCAAAGTGTTTCTGGTTACTCGTTTTGGCCACAAGAGTGCCTCAAAAGTAGTTTAACATGTTTAAGTTTTACATTGCTATACTGATTATACTGCTGTATGAATATTAGTTAGGACTGCAGTAGGTTATAGCAGTTAGTGCATTACAACATAGTTGTTGATATATATCTGTATTTATTATTTTTATATATTAATTGTTTTTATTTATATTTTTTTCACTTTAGTCAGTTAAATAATACTTAAAGTTGTGTGTTCAAATCAATGAGTACTCGTTTTTTAATAATATGAATAAAAACAATCATGATTATGATTTTTGCTGTAATCGAGCAGAACTCATCACATTCAGAGTCTGCATACTAGCCTCAGACCACATGTTGTCGAGCCTACACGATTATTGAGACTGGACTGTTCCACAGACGTTCTTAACAGAACAGTGTGCAAAATTTTAATGTTGACTTTCACTACACTATGCTTGTTTATCATACTTGCATTTTGAGCCAGTGTTTCTTGGTTATTATCTACCTAACAGTGTCAGATTGACTTTGGGTCATGGGTGGATAAAGTGACTTGGATTAAAGCTGATGCTGAGATGTTGCTGGTGTCAGACAGGATTCACTGCCTTCAATGAAATCTTAAGTCAGACACTGATTGGAAAGCCCTTTGAGTATGTCAGCTTTGAATGCAGAATATCTAATGCAATCTGAGGTCATTCTCTGATCAGCTTATGCTGTTTTATTATGAGCAGATATGTTTTTGGTCAGAGGCTGCAATCCTGAAAAAGACAGCTCCTCCATTAGTGATTCAAAGACATGAGGAAGAAAGTTTGAACTTTCAGAGCTGTAACACCGAACAAATGCATTCAGAAATTGATTAAACGTATCTGACGAAATGACAGGGCAGTGTTATTTGTGATGCAATCAACTGGACAACTACCACTGCAAAATATGCAAAATAAAGGCTATTGTCTCTTCTAGATTTGGTGGTTGGTAGATTCTGAAATGATGTGACAAAATAATCACAATTCAAGGCCAAGTTACTCACATGTTATGTTGTTTTTACACATACCAAACAACCAAGTGGTGCTGTCCTTCACCTGATGGTGAAATGAGGTTTGTCCGTGACATCTGAACAACTTAAACTACTGGTGACTCCATGTGATGTGGCCAAAAGCTCAGAAAAGAGCGAGTCACTGGATCCTGACATGAGATGTTTCAAAACTGGTATAAAATGAAGACAGGCCTTTATATCTTTTATGTGCCCTGTTTAAAGAATTATTTGTAGACTTTCCTGCTCCTTTTTCAGTATTATTCAATTCAATTGTATTTGTATAGCGCCAAATCATAATACACACTATCTAAAGGCACTTTACATAGAAGGTCAAAATCTTTTAAATTTTAGAGCAACCCAGCAGTACCCACAATGAGCAGCACTTTGGTGACACTGAAACTCTTGACATCTTTGTCAACGTATCTTCTACATGTATGGCACCAAGGGCAGCTATGGCAGAGGGGTACAGCGGTCGTCCTCCAACCAGAGGGTCGGTGGTGCGATCTCAGTCTTCCCCATCTGCATGCCGTAGTGCCTGAGATATTTGTTTTCCTTGAGTGTAGGAAACACCATCAATACACCCACTTGCTCGCAATGAATTCTGTGGACGTTGCTGTTTTGTCACATCGCTCCTGCAGACATTCTGCAGAGTTTTTTACTTGGGGGCTGGTCGGATAAACTACAAAGACACTCATTAGGGTCTTAATCTGAAATTTGCGTTCTCATATACTCTAAAGAATGTCTGCAGATTATCTGTTCAGTGCATGTCTGAAAGCAGCTTCAGATACTGTATGTCCAGCCAGGCCAGCTGCAGCCTGGTAACAGGTAAAATGAGAAGAATCCTGTTCTGAGCAAGAAACTAGCTGAAAGATGGAGTCTCTGCAGTCATGTAGTCAAGTGTTTGTAAAAACTGATCTTCTTAAACAGCAGATGTAAGTTTCAGGTTGTACTGCAGCCAGTCAACGCCTACAATCACACCACAGGAAATAGAGGGGCTTTACACTTCTCTACCCACTCACTTAGTCAGTCAGTCAGACAACACCCTGTGCTCTGTTTGGAGGAGAGCACACTAAGTGATACATAAAGAGAAATATATCCTACAAACATTCCATCAGTGGGAATGATTTAAATTCCTCTTCTGTTCTGGCAGATTTCCTCAGTAGGACTTGTCGTTTATTTATTTATTTGCTAAAGCTCTTTGCTTTGCTTCTTGCCAAAATGAAGCAGTGTCTGTTTTTCCAGGCAATTTCTAATTACTATCTCCCCCCTGCCCCCACTCTATTCCTCATTATGGGAATGATGTAAATATACGTGCTCATCCTTTTTGATTTGTTGACATGGAAGTGTGCCAGTTGACAGTGTGCCCAATCAAAGGGCTTAGTACTTAGTACTGCAAATTCTAATAGCAGCTGAGACTAATAGGCACCACTCTCATTGACATTCAGGTGCACGCAGCCGTATCAACACCCTGTGAACTGGGGGCTGCAGGAGGACAGGCACAAGAAAGGGGGAGCTTTTATATTTTGTCATGGGAGGGAGTGGTGGAGGGGGGGTTAGGTCCCTCTGTGCTCAGCCTTCTTGAATATAATTCAACACATTTCCTCACAGTTTTTTTCAAAAGAGGTTATTGTTAATGTTAACAGAAGTATATAAAGAGTAGTGGTGCAGGGTGAGGGGGGGTGGAGGTGGGGGTAGGGTAGTAGAAGAGGCCCCCCACATCCCCCCACCCCACCTCCTTATCTCAGGCCGACAGTTGTCAGGAATCACGAGCAGAGGCCTGAGTTAGCGAGGCAGGCAGGCAGGCCTAGGGATATGGATCAAAGAGACAGAGCTGGAGAACCAAAGCAGCTCTGATCCCCCAACACTGAAACCCACTCTATTCTATCCTTACTCGCCCGCCTCTCTCTCTCTCTATCTCTCACCCTGACATCAAATAGCGAGCCAGAGAGCTCCACCATTCCAAAGCAGGCTAAATCTTCCTCTCACAACAAACCAGAGAGGAAATGAGAGTGCAAGAGGAGAAATGTGTTCTGCTTTTAGTTGTGTGATGTGTTGAGGTCACTGTGGAAGTAATAGTTTCATCTTCAGTGGCAGGTCACTGAGTTGTCTGACCTGACAAAAAGGGATTAGTGGTCCAGCATCACTTTCTGTCTGAGTAGAGAAATAACTCCTCACCACTTAAAGAGCTCCAACGCAGAATAGATATGTGGGAATTTGTCAAAAAAGTGGGGTTGAAAATAAAAAGATTTATTTTGCAGGCTTTCTTTGGGGGAGGGGGGTTGTAAAAACTCTGATGGCGAAGCTGTGAAAAAGGGTTTCTATTTACACATGCACTGCCATCACAGGGACGGCTTTTCATACTGTCATTTTGTCTTTCTGTCAATAAGACCTGAAATTGGCTGCACACTCCATCTCCACATGAAAGTCTGCCACTAATTCTTTCCCATTCAATTTAAGAGGAGGAGGTGCAGAGATGGCTTGTATGAATTACATTTCAAATGCAATATAGCTGTTTCAAATTGAATTATTGCCTGTCAGACATACAGCATGTGGTCTTCCTGCAATTTTGAAGTGGGAACTTAGCAAATTCACTCTACATTGTTATCTCATGTAAATGCCTGGGAACATGATGAAAGGGTCAACGGCAGTGATCTCATAATGGAAAAGCTGCAACCAGGACTTGGAGGCATTAAGAACAGACTGAAAGGACAATAAACACAGAATGCTACAGTACTCACTGCATGTCCGGGATGAATACAATTTCAATCAGGTAAACTCAATGGAGAGATTTCGATTAAAAAATTAGGAGATTTTTATTCTTTTAAAAAAAAATCATTTCATTTGCTGGTGCTCCTTTCTGACACACAACAGTAAAGTTCTGTTTTTGTCCTATTATTTTAGTGCAGTATATATTTACTTTGTAAAAGTGCTTTAAGACACTGTATGATAATGTATAATTAGATTTGATTTCTCTATCATGCATCACTCACACACTGCCAGCACTGTTGTCTGGTGTAGTTTGGGGTTCAGTAACTTGCCCAAGGACACAGAAAATGGGGGAGACTGGGATCAAATCGCTGACCTTCTGGTTAGTGAATGACCTGCTCTACCTACTGAGCCACAGCCGTCCATGTTCAGTGGCAGGGGATTGCAGCCAACTGTGAAGAGGTCAGGATGACAGACAGCACTTCCAATCAGAGGCCATGTTTCTTGGAAAATGGTAATTGCTCCCTCCGGGTTGGGGGTAAGTTGCTGCCCCAAGTAAAAGAGTTAAAGTTCTTTCACTCCCTCACAAGGGAGGTGAAGATGGAACTCAAGATGTTGAGGCAGGTCATTGCTGCGTCAGTGTGGGTGTTCTCTGAGAAATCAACAAAAATGTTGAAAAACGTTATGTTGAAAATGAAAATCCTGGATCCATCCCCTGACCTGGATCCACACCAACATTAAATGTGTGTTTATTTATTTTATTAAATTTATTTAATTTTACACTTCTCATAATAACATGTAAAGAGATATGTAACTTGGTGTTTTGGTTTGTTGCTACGTTGTATGGTTGTAACTATTTGGTATTCGCCACATGCTGCACCATCTGTCACTCATGGTTTCGGTTGCAGTTGTGCACATACCTGTAATGGGCATGCAATACAGTGCTCTCTCTCATGAAAGAACTTGCCTTTCACTCTTCAGTCTGTGTTCCAGTCTTGGAATCTGTTGCGTGTGAGACCAACGTTCGTGCGCATGCATGTGCACCCCTGCTATTGCCATATATTGAATTAATTCTGTGGGAAATGCTGCAGAGAAGGTTAAACACAATTCCTTGATCCACCCATTTACTTGGATCCACAACAAAATTTAATTCATTCATTCATGGACCCACACTGCATCCAAATTTCATGCTAATTTGTCCAGTAGTTATTGCATAATCCTGCAAACTAACAGACAGACACAAAGGGATACATAACCTCCTTGGTGGAAAAAAAAACTAAATGAAAAATAGTTTTTGACTTATTAGTGAAATACTGTGGTTGCTTCTCTAATATGTGCTTACAATCACAAACAAATGAGTTAAGATTTGTTTTGTCAATTACAGATTCTGAAGTGTTATATGAAGGGTGACAGCTTTTCTCAATCCTAATGTTACTTACCACTTATTTAATGTCTAAACTACAAAAATCTAAACTGATTACCATAGAAATTGAATATTGTATGTTGTACTGTATTTTTATGTATCGATAACAGAAGGTCAGCTGCAATCATATTCTTCAAGGAGCTATCTACTCATCTCAACAGTCATCACAGTACATTCAAATATCATATCGTTATTCTGGACATACAGGTTCACCCGGATATTGACATTAACTTAAGAGAATCAACAGTGAGAGTTCAGACGTCGTCCCCAAATGTCAGAGTTGGGACAAAATATCAGCGTTTGTTTAATGCACACAATTTGGCAACAGTGGACGTTAACATATGTTGGCTGTGATCAGAGAATACTAACAGTTCTCCTGCTGTTACTGTCCCACCTGTATGCTGCTCCTTCCACCATATTTTGCATCTTGGAAACTTTGGTTGATGCTGGACAGTATCAATCAAATCATCACAGTAAAAGTAACTGTCAGGAATTTTACCACGGTATTCTGTGAAACCAGTAATCATCTCTAGGCTGAAAAAAGACAATCTTTTCTATTATTTTTGATTAGTCAACCTTTTGCCACAGGTGACTCCCAACAAATTGTATTTAATCTACAGTGTATGTGTTGGGACCTCACCATTTAATTAGAAATAGCATGGAACACAATTCAGTAACCACAAGCAACAAATTTGTGCACACCACCATTCCACTTCTCAACCAAGCTAACAACCTTAGAAACACACTATAACAATGAACACAGCCAGAGGATATTTGGGACATACCAATAACAAGATGAAACTAAACAAGGTTGCCAAAAGGTCAATACATCTGCTATTAGTGGCTAGCTACCTCAGCACCTCCAGCCCTCTTGACAGTGAACATATCCTAAGCCAGTTTCTAAACCAAACACAGAAGAAAATTATATGGACAGTCCATCCTAACTCCTAGCATGGAAGCTAACAAGCAAATCCATCAGTGTCAGAATAACCGAGCATTACTGAGATTACAGAAATAAATTACAGCCCACAAGTGATGAGGATAATGGTGAGGTATATCTAGTTTACTCAATTCAGGTGTTAATGTTAACAAGAGTTCCAATCCTCATGCTCTAATGTTGAGTCCATTAGGTCTTACCTGTGGGGCGAGTCCATTGCTGACAGGGTTGACGTGGTTGCTTGGTGCTGCGGAGGTCATAAAAGTGTCAGAGTAGGTGGAGAAGCTGTGGCGGTTTGAGGCCAGACCATAGGCGGAGCTGCTGTCAGTGCTGGACAGACTACTCTGGTGCATGGTGGATGGAGGTAAAGGCTGGGGACGGTGAACTGTTCCACCACCATCTAAAAAGCAAAACAGAGAAGTGAATACATAGCTTGGTACTTAAAGATATACAACCTAAAAACTCCTTGTGCTCCAGTCAGTGTTTTTGTGCATTAACACAGATCCATTTCTTTAATTGCTCAAGCGTGTAACGTTCGTTGTCTGTGTGCTAAACTGAACCAAACAAAAAATTTTCGATTTTTGAGTAAACAGCATAGTTTTGTGAACTACACTTTCGTCGTGTATGTATTTGATTTCAATTATAGTAATACGTTATATTTGGCTGTATGACTCTGTTCTGGGTCTTCCATATGTATACTTGGAAAGCCTAAGGTTGAGAGAGCACACCTTCCTACCCTTCCATGTGACTTCATGGGAAGTGAGGCACAGAGTAGTAAAATATGGAAATTTTATCTGCCATATTTATATTTATACTGTAATTCTGTTCATACTGCCATATTTATATTTATATTCCACCGGTAATTCTGTTTATATTCATACCGTTCATCCCGCCATATCTGCCATATTTATACTATTTATATTCTTTATATCGTCTAAATTTGCCACTGCCTGTTTATATCTTT